AAAAAACAAAAAAAAAAAAAAAAAAAAAAGAGCAAATGTGCGTGCACACACACACACACACGGACAAGATCATATCTGCTGTTCTGACGTTAAGAGGCACCTACTCTGTACTGGGCACCTCTTTGGGTGCTTGTGTGACTTTACTCTGTCATGGGGGTTGCTGTCCTCGTTTCTTGGGGACAAGTCCCCACTCCATTTCTCCTTTCATTTGTGCATTTGAGGAAGGGACCTATATAGGGCACAGCAGCTTTCTCTCGAGCTCAGAAGCAAGCAGGTACACGGATGGGAGGAAGAGGCCATCCAGCCTCCCCGGCAGACACACCTAATGTCTGATAGGTGGCAGTCAGAGGACACCTCAGTTCCCGCCTTCCACCTTTATGTGGTTATGGGGGTTGAACTCAAGTCAAGCACCTTTACCCACTAAACTGTGGTGTCAGCCCATCCGCATTGGCTTTATGTGCTGGGATAACGGTTTCCTTCCCTTTGGCACTGTGGCCAGTGATCAGCACATCTCCTGAAACAACTTCCTGTGATCCTTCCAATACTGCACCACCTTAAACATGAGACCATAGGTCCAAACTCTGCCAAGCACCTTCCAGAACTTTAAGGCACCATCTATGGCTGGTTTCTGGGAGAGTTTCATTGTAGGGTGGTGAAATCATAATCATTCTGGTTTTTAAGAATGATCTTGAGTGGCGGATGCCTTCGCATCTGAGAGACACCTGTGGTCTGCCCTTTGACAAGAGCGACAGAACCTAGTGGTTCTGCAGGTGAAGTCTGGGCCAGCCTCCCACCAGACTGAAGCTGTATACCCCCAACACAGGAGGATTTCACGCACCTGGAGGTGCTGGAGGCTCTGGAGGCGGAGATGCCCGGGGCCATGGAGAGTGGGCGTGTGAGCAGCATCCGGTATGAGAACATGAATGTCATTTGCGGGACGGCCGGCCGCAGAGACAGGTGAGCCCATGCATGGGCGTGGTCTAGGTTAATTGGCTGATGGGAGGGGTGAAGTCAGGGAGACAGGGGGTGGGACTTAGCAAATGGAGCGTGGAGGTGGAGTCCGAGCTAGTGAGGGGGAAGTGAGGGAAGGGACAGTGAGCAGTGAGGGGGCGGGGCCTAGACTAGGAAGCTGGTGGGTGGGGTTAGAGTAAGGAGGTGAGTGATGGGTGGAGCTGAAAGCTACAAAAAGACTGGAGCCTTGAGTGAGAAGGTGAAGTCAAGGTGAGGGGGGTCAGTGAGGTTTGAGGTTCAGAGCCACCCTGAGGGGCGGGTCCTAGGCTGAGTGACACTTTGGTTACAATCAGAACGATGATAGCAGTGAGGGGGCGGGCCTGGATAAGGAAGGCGGCGAGCCCGGGGTCTGGAGCATCCTTGGTGAGGTGGAAGAGACATCCTTCGGTATTCGCCTCGCCCGCAGATGGCTCATCACCGTCACAGACTTCCAAACGCGCTCGCGCCTGCTGCGCTCGGGACTCTGTCTCCGCGGAATCGCTTACCCACTGATGCGCCACGACGATCTGCTGCTGGGCGACTACCGCCTTCACCTGCGCCGATCCCTAGTCCGACGGCGAATGCTCCAGGCTCTGGGGGCGGAGCCGGTCGAAGAAGATTGACGCATGGCGGGGGCGGGTCCCAGATGCGCCCTGTCCCCAGACCTGCCGCTTGTAAGGGGCGTGGCCTCCCTAGTAAGGAGGCGGGGCCGGCTCCAGGGGGTGGATACTGTGAGTTTAATTATAAAGAATGACCTGATACAAAAGCCATTTCTCTCAGCAAATTCTTGTTGGGCGTGGGGGGCGGGACAGACCTCTACTGTCATTCACCAGGTCACACCCCTGCAGCAGAAGGAGCCCAAATCCTTTCTCGTCCCCTCCCGCCCCCTTGGAAGACAGTTCTAGGGCTTTTATTTCAGGAGTTTTTTTTAACCCCCCCGTTTGGATTTGTGTGTGTTCTAGTTTTTTAATTTTTATTTTGCTTTGTATATTTTTCTTTTGCTATTATTTCTCTTTTTGCTTCGTCTCTCCTCTCCACCCCGCTCCCCCATCCGGCCCCTCCCCCTTCCCTCTCCCCACTCCTTTCCCCCCTAACCCCACCCCTTACTCCCTCCCCAACCCCGCGGCACCCATCCGGAATTAACAAGCCCTTGATAGACAGGCGCCGCGCAGGCCCCCTGCGGACGGGGGGCATCCGACCAGGGGGAGGGGGCGGGTAGGGGCCCAGTGCCACCTCCTCTCCAGTCCTTGCCACCCCTCCCCCCTCCCGCGACCCTCCCACAAGGTTCCCTGCATTTCCCTGACGTGGTGAGGGGACGGGGCTGGCCCTCCCCTCCTGGACGGAGCGCCCCCGGGGGTTCTGGTGGGCAGCTTTAGGGAATGGGCTGGGGGGGGGAGGGGAGCTCCCTTCTTTGGCAGCTGAACATGGGGGGGGGACCTGAGGGCGATGCCCTTCCCCCTTTTACCCACAGCAGGGGAGGGGGCTACCTAGGGGAGGAGAGGTGGCTTTAAATTCCCAAGCCCCAGAAGCAGGGGGGGGGGACGTGCAGGGAGGGAGGAGCCATGCTGAAAGGAGGGGGAGGGGTAATCTAGGAGAGAAGAAAGGGTGGGGGGAGGAGGAGGATCTTCGTGCAGAATGGACTGACAGACAGATGGATGGTCTGAGTGACAGCCTAGTGAGCAGGGAGCCAGCGTGCATGCGCAGGGTCTCCTCTCCCTAGGAACAGCAGGAGGAGGTGAGCAAAGACCTAGGGTGGGCGCAGGAAAAGAGGAGGAAAGTTCTGGCTAAGAGTGCTTAGAGAGAGGCAAGTATGCGAACTGAAAAGAGGCCAGGCTCTGCAGGGCAACCGGGAAAAGTCACCTAGAAAGACCAGAACAGCGCAGCAAGCACATACATCCCACACCTGAGCACCATAAAAAAATAAAAAGGAAGAAAGAAAGAAAGAAGAAAGAAAAGCTCCTGGGGAGAAGCAAAAGGCTGGGGAGCGCAAGAGGGCGAAGGAAAGAGAGTGCATGTCAACAGAAGTTGGGCGGTTGAGGACTCGGGAAACAGAGGCAAGTGGCTCTCTGAGTTCGAGGCCACCTGGTCTACAGAGTGAGTTTCAGAGACAGCCAGAGTTACACAGGGAAACGAGAGAGAGAGAGAGAGAGAGAGAGAGAGAGAGAGAGAGAGAGAGAGAGGAAGAAGGAGGAGGAGGAGGAGGAGGAGGAGGAGGAGGAGGAGAGAAGAGAGAGATATGGGATGTGAGTGTGCCAAGTGTCAGAGAAAATGGAGAAGGCAGGGGACAGGAGTGCCATCATGACAGAGGGAGAGTAAGGGCTCAGGGGCGCCAGGACAGGAACGAACGAGTTTCCAGGTATGAGAATGGAGGTAAGTGTGTTTGGAGTGTGCAAGGACAGAGCAGAAAGAAGGGGTGGCCAGGGGCTACAGGAGTATACCTGGGTCTGTGAAAAGGAGAGGAAGGAAAGTCCCATGTGTGTCTGCAGCATGGGTCCAGGGTGATCAGAGAAAGAAAGGGTGCAACCCCACCCCCCAAGAAGAAAGGATGCAGAGAACAAGCTAGCAAAGGCCATGGCGCTTGAGAGAAAAAAGAGCGCATCAGGGAGCTGGGAGGGCCTCGCAGGCAGAGGTGTGCAAGACAGCCAAGGGGACAAGCTTGTGCAAAACTGCAGCCAGGGTGCGGAGCCGGCAAGCAAGAGGCAGGGGGAGGGGGAGGCTGAGGGGCCTGGACAGGTGGAAAGGGTTATTGGAGGAGCACAGGTGATGGAATAGGAGGGCAATCTTCCCCTGCGGCCTGGGGGGCAGCCCCCATCCGGTCAGGCTCTGGGCTGACCCTCTATGGCTCTGTCTGTCCCCCCCAGTCGTCCTTTTCCTCCTCCTCAGTACCCCTGTGTCATTTTCTAATCACACCCCCCCTTACACCACTTGCAGCCCAGTGTCAGCTGCCCACCTCTTGTGAGGTGCCAGTGTCTGGCCTGCATCCGGTCCATTGGGGACCTCAGTCAGGCCTGGGGAGACGGGGCAGGGCACAGTTTTAGCAAAATCCCTGGCCCCCTGAGAGGGTGGGGAGAGAATGATGGTCAGAGGGGTCAGAGGTCAAGAGGTCAGCGGGCTGAAGGGTCCTATGGACGGGTTGGTCCGTCCAGGCCAGCCATCACCTCTCCAGGAAAAATTTGAGAGCCCGGTCAATGTTCATTCGGTGGCCCACCCTGGTCACGCCCAGGTCCACATAGTCCTCCTTGGTCAAGGCGGGCAGGTGGGAGCCATCAATCTCGTGGTCCAGGAACTGGGCTCTGTGCTCTGATAAGCCCAGCCACTCCAGCCAGTCGGCGACGTCAAACTTGGTCCAGAATCCGAGAGGCTTGGCGCCAAATGGCTTGTCCGGGGGCAGCGAGAGCAGGCGGGTGGGTGATAGAGAGCGAGAGGCTCCCGACAAGGCTCCTCCGAGACCGCCAGACATCCCGGGGTGTGGTGGCACAAAGACTGGAGCAAAAGGGTCAGCCGAGCCTCCTGCCCCTCCGGTCGGGGAGCTACGGATGTCAAAGATGCCCGGGTAGAGGGGTCCTGAAGGCAGGATGGGCAAAGAAGAGGGCCTGGGCGCTGGGCTGACCTTGTGATCCGAGGCAGGCAGCAGCGAGGGGCTGGGTGCCCGGCGGAGCAACGGAGGCCGCATCTCAAATTCCACGCCCTGCAGGTGTCGGGTGGAAGCTGAGGCGGGTGAGGCTGAAGGGGATGTAGCTCCTGGGGCTGCAGCTGTTGAGGAGGAGACCCCAGGTCCGGTGGGGAGTGGAGGCAGCGGGGGTTTAGGCCAATTCTGAAAGATGCTGTTGCTGGGTTTGGATAGAAGAGAGGTCTGGGAGTCTTCGGAGAGCCTGGAATGTGACAAGGGGTGGGGGCAGGGGACCAGGGGTAAGGGAGAAGGGTTTGGGGGGAAGTGTTGAGGGCAAGGGTGCATAAGAGGCAGAAGTCATGATTCAGAGGGAGAGACACAAGGGTAGGGGCAGAGACGGAGAAGATGGGGTGGTGGTAAGGAAGGGTCAGATGAATGTCAGGAGAGAAGTGAAGGGCAAGAAATAGGACAGGGAGAGGGTGATAGCCAAGAGAGATGGAAGAAAAAGAACCATTAAGTGATAGCAATAACACCCGCCACCACTTGCTGCAGCTCATGTGTGTCAGGCATTGTTCTAAAGGCTTTCTGAATCTCATCTCAATTTAATCCCCAACAGCCCTGGTGGAAGGTTACTATTATCATCAAGAGCACAGAGAGCTTAAGAAACTTGCCTAAGGACACACAGCCAGGGAGTGGCAGAGCCCAGTTAGAAGTCACCAAAGTCTGAGCTCTTAACCACTACTCTATACTGCCTTTTTTGGTTATGGTCAGTCATAGCAGAGTGGAAGACAGGGAGACAGAAACAAAACAAAACAAACAAACAAAAAAGAGGGTGGGCATTCAAGGGGGAAAGAGATGGAAGGGGGTGGGGACAGAGAACAGAGAGAGAGAAGTGAAGAGAGGGAGGTGAAGAGAGAAGAAACAAGGGGAGAAAAAGGTCCCCTCATCCCTTGAGCTCCCTTCAGCATGGCCACACAGCAGGGCCTTTGAACTAGCTATTTCCACTGGGTGGCTAACTGTCCCCCACACAGCCTGGTGACCTCTGAGAGATCTGTAACCAACCAATTTGTGGATTGTTTTGAGAGGGTAGCTGTTATTATTGTGCCTTCTGTCTAGCTGGGGTGTGGCTCAGTGGTAAAGCCCCTGCCTAGAGTCCCCCAGTGTGGCATCTGAGCCTTAATAAACTAGTAGCAAGATGTGCTCTGGGTCTGGCTTGAACTGTCCACTGTGCCCCTCCCCTTCTCTAGAGGGCACATTGCTGTGCTAAACATTCAATCCATGCACTGATGCCTACCTGCAGCCCCCTCCCGCCCACCCGTGAAGAACAATGAGTGAATTGTTTCTTATCTCCGCAGCTTGTTAAATCCACCCTGGATTGTTAGATACAGGGGACAGAATCATAGTGCACTGTAGACGGAGAGGAAGCATTTCAAGCTCTCCTCCGTGCATCTGAGTTAAAGATGGAATTGCTTTCTAGCCATTGTGAGAATGGGTCATGGCTTCAAAGAGACCACAATGAAGAAGTATCTGGGGAGTGACAGCAGGGCCCATATCATCCTATCTAGAGGGAGCTGGGTTCCCCAAAGATGCCCTGCCCTCCTCCATCATGTTGACGGCAGTGGCTCAAGTTCTGCCTCAATCCCTTACAAGTAGGCACTGTGAAGAGCCACACAGACACCTTTAGTTAATGCAGTTTTGCTGTTGATATTTTGTGTCTAGGCTTTGGGATGTATAGGTCTGTCATTCCAGTTACTGGGGAGGTTGAGGCACGAGGATCAGAAATCTAAACTTGGTTTTTGAACTCTAAACAGAGTTTAAGGCCAGCCAAAGCAACTTAACTAGGTAATGACTCAAAACATAATAAGAAGGCTGGGAGCTTTGCTCAGTGGTTGAACCCGTGCCTACAGTCCCCCAGTAAGAGGTCAGGGTGTGATTTGGTGGTAGAACCCCTGACTAGACTCCCAGTGAGGGGCTGGGGCCATGGCTCAATAGTGGAGCACTTGTTTAGCATGCCTGAAGCCCTAGGTTTGATCCCCAGGACCATCAAAAACAAAATAAAAACATGTAGCCATTCATCTTGGGCTATGGTGACCATGGAGCTGAAAGTGTGCTTCTTAGAGGTCCGATTCCTGCAAGACAGCCCAGTTTGTTTTCTGTAACTCCGAGGCTCTTTGGGGACCTTGGGCTCCAGCACCTGCCATAGCCACCCGCCAGTTACAGGTCTCTGCTCACCTCTGCCGCTGCAGGGAGGAGGTCCTCTCTGGGATGTAACTGGCTCCTCCGTGGTGGCTGTCTGTGCTGCCCCCGCTGCCTCCCCGAGCCCAAGGCAGAGCTCCTCCCGCAGCAGAGGACCCACCAAACTGCTGGAGCTTCGAGCTGAGTTCGCTGATGATGCTGGCTTTGACCGTGGCCAAGGCAGAGGCCTGAGGCTGGGACAGGGGCCCCGGCAGGGGCGGTGGTGGGGGTCCCGGACCCTCCTCCCATGGTAGCAGCTTTCGAGGCAAGGACGAGGCAGTGGGCAAAGGTACAGGCGGGACTTCTGGCTCAACCGCCACGGAACCTCCTGCCACACCTGCCGTCGAGGGTCCTGAGCAAGCACTCAAGGCCAGAAGCCCATCTGTTCCAGCTCCGGTCACAGAGACCGTGGGGCTGGTGGGGGTGACAGGATCTCGGAGTCCCCCACTGGGACCAGGTCTCAAATTTCCACCAGCCCCAAGCGCCCGGCCCCGGAGCTTGGAGGGAGTCATGAGCTGTGGGGGGTATGGTGGGCCAGGAGTCCCACTGCCCCCGAAGGCCTGGCCATCCAGGTAGGCTACGTAGGTGTCCAGGAGCTCAGTCCCACTGGCCACCCCGGCCCCGCTCCCAGCCACGCCCCCCGTGTTGCCTCCTCCTTCGGCAGACAAACTGCTGAGTGTGGACGCGCTGCTGATGGTCTCCAGCGGGTGATCGCTGCTGCTCCGACTGTCCACCTCCTCAATTCCAGAATCCGTGCCAGGTGGAGGATCAGGGCCTGGCTGCGGGGCTGGGGGAGCTGGGGCTGCTGGAGCTGGCGGGCCTGGAGCAGGAGTATCCCCGGGAGCCGCGGGAGCCCCCTGGGTCAGCGTGGCCACTTCGCTGTCGTAAGAGGTCAGGCTAGACGCGGTGGAGTCCAGGGTGGGAGGGGCTGCGGCCACAGCCGGGGGTGGGGCTGCAGGTAGAGGGGTAGCTGGGGAGGGCGGGTCGGGCAGCGGGTGGGGAGGCCCGGGCGTGAGGGGCGACTCTGGCTTTTCGAAACTGTTGGAAAACTCCAGGGGTGGAGGCAGCGGCTCCGCGAAGAGGAATTCGCCGTCGTCCACATCCACGGAAGGGGCTGGCGGCGGCAGGACCAGCAGCGGAAGGCCGTTCTCCTCACTGCCCCGCGGAGAGGTGGGAGAGGCTGGCAAGACCCTGCGAGGGCTGGGAGGTGGGACCCCGGGCCCGTCTTCAGTGGAGGACCTTCTCGTGCCCGCTGGGGGAGGCCGGGCCTGGCAATTCTCAAGGAAGCGCACATGCAGAGGCAGCCGCTCAGGCTCCTCCGTGGCCGCAGTGCGCCAGGCCTTGCTCACCCCAGGAAGGGGAGTTGGGGGTTCCGGCCCCAGCTGCAGCAGGAGCGGCCCGACCCCTGGAGCTGACGGGGGCAGACGGTGCAGTAGGGAGCGGCGAGCTGCAGGTGGACTGGCGGGAAGGGCCTTCTCCTGACTCCCTAGACCTGCCCGGTACCCTAGCTCCCGGCGCGCGGGGTCCCCCCACAGGCGCAACACTGGCTCGTGACGTGCATGTGGCGAATGGGGTGAATGAGGCGAGTGGTGGTGGAGGGTGGGCGGCGGGGCATCGTAGCGTGGCGACGGGGGTCTCGGAGGCGGCTGAGGGGTGCCCCCACCGTCCGAGGACTCTTTCAAGGCCCGCTCCCGGGCGGCCAAGGCCAGCCCCAGCGGAGAGGCGGGATCTAAGGCCTTGCCAGTCAGCGGATGCACCAGAGGCCGCGGGGGGAGGAAGCTGGTGAAGGCGCTGCTGCTCCCACTGCCCCCGTAGGCTCGACTGCCGGCTGCGTAGGCCCCATAGCCCCCGCTGCTGCCCCCTGACTCTAGCCGGAGGTACGGCTCGGCGGAGAACATGCCTTCATCAATGGATTTGGAGTGGCGCAGCCGGGGACCTGGGGGAGCCCCCGGGCCCAGCCCGCTGTCGCCTCCATCCTCATCTCCCGCATCGGTGGACAGGAACAGCGTGGACCGCCGCCGGGCTTCGTTCTGCCAGCCTCCCTCCCTCCGTGCCGCGCCCACCAGGGCTGCTCCAAACTGGCTGGTGAAGTCCAGGGTTGCTGGGCCGCTGGGCGACCCAGGGGTGGGCACGGGCGACGGAGACGGCGGCACCGGGGACGTGGCAGGCGCAGGGCTGGGCGAGGATCCACCGCCGCCCGCGCCGTCGGGCTGGGTGGGGGGCTCAGCCTCTGTGCTGCTCCCCTGGCTGCTGCGCCCGCTGCTACTGGTGGATGGGGCTTTGATGATGATTGTAGGGATGGGGATGGAATTTTTCTCCGATGGCCCGGCCGGAGGTGGTTCAGGCCGTGGCAACGCTGGGGATGTTGGGGAGGACGCGGGAGCGAGGCTGCCCTTCTGGGGCTCGCCTTCCACTTTGGTCTGCTTGACCAATGGGCCCTTGCGACCGCGGCCCGTGCGGGCAGGCACATACATAGCTGCACTGGCCGCCCTGGGGGGCAGCTGGAAGTAGCGCAGGGCGGGAGCCTGAGTGGGGCCGCTGCTGCCTCCGCTACTGCTGTGGTGGGAAGGTGATGGGGCCCCCGAGGTCGGGCTGGGTCCTCCGCCCCTCCAGCCTCGAAGGCTGGGCTGGGGTCCCAGGGCCAATCGAGGTGGGGGATCGTCGGGAGAACCTCCTGTCTCCATCTCCGGTGGGTGAGGAGGGTGTGCATGGTGATGGTGGGGCTGCGGAGGTGGGACGTGATGATGGTGATGGTGAGGTGGATGGTGGTGGGCAGGGGGGAGGGCTCCACTGTGATACAGGCTCTTCTCTCGGCCCCCAGCGCGGGTGTCAGGAGGAGATGGCCCATCGAAAGATGAAGGGGAGGAGGCAGGAAGGGGACCCCCAGAACCGGGGTTAAAGGGGCCTCCCCGAGGGGACGGAGTGAGGCGGCCGGAAGAGGAGGGGGCTGGAGGTGTGCTGTAGGGAGGCTCTGGTGGGGATGTAGTGGGTGGGGGGGGTATGTCCTCTGAACCGGGGACTGACAGACTACGGCTGAATTTCATGGCTGGGGGTGCTAGGTAGGGTCTGTCATCTTCTGCAGCCCCTGTTGAGACACACAAGACCAAGGGAGGAATTGGAGACTGGACCAGCTCCTCCTAGATGCAAGCAGTGCACTGCGTAACAGCAATCATCAGCAGGGGCGCAAGGGAAAAGGCTCAATTAAGTAGAATTTCGCCCTTCGGCCACGAGGGGGCGCCGTTTACTAGTTGTTCAAAGGTTTGCGCACATGATAATTTAATGGCGATTTGGAGTGATTTAAAACAGGCTTAAGAAGAAAAGGCTATCTATCATTTTTACACAGAGCCATGCAAGAAGCAGCTGACTTCTCCCTCAACAAGCATCTGCCTCTACTTACTACCTGCCTGCTACCAACCCTCCATCCTTTGAACCCCGAAAGACCCCAGTTTTCTAGATGCTACCTTTCCCAGGTCACACAGCTGAGAAGCAAACCCCGGATTCATCCAAACCCGACCTCATTGAACCAGGGTCAAATGTGATGCTAGACACATCGCCAAGCCGAGACAGTCCTATGCTCCCGGACCACATCCCACTCTGAGAGACATACCAATGGATTTCTGCCGGAGCATAAGGCCAGGTCCGGGAGGCAGGAAGGAAGGCCGGTCATAACTCGGCTGGGAGCGGTGGTGGGGATCAAAGCTCGACTTCAGCGTAGCAGTTAGAGGGAGAGAGAGAGAGAGAGAAGAGAGTAGAGAAGGATCAGTCAGAATTCTCCACACTTGGAGGCTTTTCTCCTCTGCGTCTCTGCACGCCAGAAACATGGTGTGGGGAAGCTGGAGAGCAGTTCCTGAAGAGCTTCTCTGGGGTGGCAGTCAGAAAAAAGGAAAGAAAAGCAAGCATGAGCTGTCCTCAGCCAGCACCACCTGCAGTCGTGGCCTGTACCCAGGTCCCAGGGACACTCTTTCTCTGGCTTTCTGTTGCTTCTCTTGTTCACCCCTCTCTAGTCTCTTTTCCAGACTTGGCAGAGTCTTTCAAAAAGAAATCAGGGCTGGAGAGATTGCTTAGTCAGTAAAGTACTTTGCTACACACACAAGCACGAGGCCCTCGGTTCTGATTCCTGGCAGCTGCAGCTCATATCAGACCACAGAAACACCCAGGTGTGAGGCCAAACAGGCACAGGCACGGTCCTATCAGAGCCTACATGAGCTGCTCTTCAACTTCAGTTCATCATTATCTTAAAGATGTGCGTGCGTGCACATGTGTGTGTGCGTGTGAGTGTGTGCATGTGTGTGTGCAAGGGTGATGTGTGTGCATGTGTGTGCGTGTAGGTGTGTGTGGTGGGTTGTATGCATGTGTGTGCGCATGTGTGGTGTGTGTGCATGTGTGGTGTGTGCATGTGCGCACGTGTGTGTGCACACATGTGCGTGTTTGCGTGCGTGTGGTGTGTGCATGTATGTGCATGTGTATATGTGTGTGCGCGTGTGTGGTGTGGGGGGGGTGTGCGTGCATGCGAGCATGTGCGTGTTTGCGTGGCGTGTGAGCACGCACGTGTGCGGTGTGTGCAGGTGCTCACACACTCCTCTGCTCAGAGGCCAGAAAGAGTACCAGAGCTAGAGTTGCACATGTGGGAGATGCTGGACTATGTGGGCCTGGGATCCAAACTCCCATCCTCATGACAACACAACAAACCCTCAGTCACTGCCCATCTTTCCAGGCCCACTCAGGCCATCCTGTGTCCATCATTCCCTGCGTCATTTCTGCCTGTCCACTCACCAGTCCATCTGTCTGTCATTCCATCTCTGCAGATTTTTCTGTCCATCTGACTTTCCACCCACCCATCACACTGGCTGTGATGGTGATTCCACACAAAACATGTGGACTATGTCCATCGTCCTGGAGACCTCAGAGGGCAGTGATGGCCTGGGAGACTCAAGGCTCTGCTGGGTCTCAAGGGCACCATCTGGCAGACTAGGTTAGAACTGCCTATTGCTATGTTTGTTTTATTTGTTCCACTACCAAGGATGTCCTGACATGAAAGGCAAGCTGTAAATAAATTAGACAACAGAACTGGGAGTTCAGTGTGCTGACTTACACCTAACATCCCAGGCCTGCAGAAGCAGAAGCAGGAGGATTACCATGAATTCCAGACTAGCCTGGTCTACGAGTGAGTTCCAGGCAGTCAGCTACAGCGTAAGACCCCTGTCTCAGAAAAATAACAAACACCCAAGAAAAATGGCTGCCCAGCTCTGGAAAGACAGATGCCCTGTGGAGGATGCTGTTTCCACAGGGCCCAGGAACCCAGAAACAGGGTAAGTGCCTGTTATCCCATTAGACCAGCAAAGAGTCTGAGAGTCAGGGAACAGGCTCCTCACAGGGATCCCAGGGACCGGACAGGGGTGACAAGAGAGAGAGGTGGCGAAAAGGGAGGCCGAGTCACAGCAGAAACAGGAGTATGACGAAGTCGCATTAGAGAGCCTGGAACTGAAGAGAACCCGAGGTAATGAGAGCCACAGAGAAGGTTCCAGGGGGAAGAGCAGATTCCTAAGGGAGCCCAGTCTGAGGAAAGGACATGATCTGCATACCAGGAAAAAATACTCTGGCTTGGAAAAGCTCAGGTCAAAACAATGGGCAAGGGGCTGGAAGATGCCTCAGTGGTAAGAACACTTGTTCTGCAATTGGGTCCTGAGTTTGAATCCCCAGTACCTACATAAAACTCTGGGCCTGGCTGCCTGTGCCTGTAATACTAGCACTGGGGCTCAGGTGTGGCGAGGGGGCAAAGATGGATTCCTAGATCTTGACAGACAGCCAATTTAGACAAAACTGAGCTTCTGGTTCAGTGAGAATCTGTCTCAAAGGAAGAAGATAGGGTGATGGAGGGAGGGAGGTGCCTGTCCTGCATGGTCCTGGAATGTGCCACACTTACACGATGCACACCACACACACACACACAATCATGCACCCCGCCCACCACCAGCACGCGTATACAACCCTCACCCATCACATCATGCAAACATCATACAATACACACACTGTACAGCACACACCACATACATACATACCACATCCACATCATACACACCTACCACATATACCATACACATATACACACACCACATACCATACACATATACACACCTACCACATATACCATACACATATACACACACCACATATCATACACATATATACACCTACCACATATACCATACACATATACGCACACCATGCACACACACCATAAATACACCAAACACACTATACACATAGACCATGCACATACATATGCCACACACCACATGCCTACACCATATACCTATGCACACCCAATATATAACCCCCCATGCATACACACACCTAATAAACATCCACACACATGCTTGAAGAAATATTGGGAAAAAAAGCACCCCTGCCTGCTTGGGTTAGCTAAGGAGTGGGGCCAGTCTCAACAGAGCTCTGCTTGGATTGGATAGACATTGCCGAGAGGCCTGAGCAAGCGAGTTCAGTTCCCTAACATCTGTCTGTCATCTAGAAAATTGAGGTGATCTTTTCTCCTCTCCAAGGAAACTTGTCAGAGAAGACGGTGATGAAAAGGTTCACTGAAGGGTCAGGGAAGGTAGATTTGGGGGCCATGTAAGGAAGAGCTCTCTAGAAGTCTGTCCATCCGGAGAGACACTACAATAGGACGTGTGAGTTCCTGTCTTTAGATTTGTTCAAGCACCAGCTAGATGGTTAAGAAGGAAGGGATAGATGTATTAAAACTTAAGAGCTGAGGCTGGGGAATGGCTCAGTTGGTAAAATGCTTGCCGTGACCCTGCAGGAAAGGCCTGGAGTGGTGGCTTGCCCCTGGAATCACAGCGCTGAGTGGGAGGACACACGGCTCTCCGGGACCCGCTGACAAGCCAGGCTAGCCTCATCAGTGACCTCCAGGTGCAGCAGGAGACCTCAGCAAACAAGATGGGTGACACCAAAGTCTGTGCTCGCACACACATGAGCACACGCACAAGAGATGGGCTGTCGGGACAGTTTGGGACCCTGCGGCTCAGAAGGGATGTGCTGGAGTGAGATCAGAGGGTGACAGCACCAGGCCGCAGAGGAAGACTGCTGCTTTTGAGAGCCCTGCGGGACAGGAGCTGACCTCACTCGACCCTCCTGAGTGCAGCAAGCTTCAAAATTCTACAGGTCAGGAAACAAATGCTGGGGGTGAGATAGTGTGGTTCAAAGTCACACAGGGAGAACGCAGCCTGGCTGAAAGACCTGTGCCCTCTGACTCCCTTCTCTGTCTGCCTCCCGTCCCCATCAATTCTCCGCTCCTTTCACCCACACTCTCTTCCTGCCTGCCACCTCCTTTCTCTTGGTGCTGCAGCCTGAACACAGGGCCTTGCTCCTGCTGGGTGTGCACTTGTCCACCGCGTGCACACCCAGCTCTCACTGAACACGGGGCCTTGCTCCTGCTGGGTGTGCACTTGTCCACCGACTGCACTCTTGGCTCTCACTGAACACAGGGCCTTGCCCCTGCGGAGTGTTCAGTTGTCCACCGGGTGCACACCCAGCTCTCACTGAACACTGGGCCTTGCCCCTGCAGAGTGTTCACTTGTCTACCGGGTGCACACCTAGCTCTCCCTTTTTTCCTGCTCTGGCCTTGTGCGGCAGGACAGCACAGCAATCACCCACCCTAACAACTGCAGACCTTTCCGACACCCTAAGAAACCCAGGACAGGCATGACGGGAGTGCGGGGCCTGCAGGACACTCTGCTAGCCAGAGAAGAATTTCCTGGGAATTTCAGGAGTCTGGCTGCAAAACCTGCTCCCTGCCTCTGCATAAAAGTGCAGGCTCTCTGGGGTTGGAGTGTGTGGTCCGAGGGAACAAATGACAACCTGTCTTCACATCATCCAGTGGAAAACTCAGCCCTCTTCTCCCTTAAAGCTAAGGTAGCAAGCCAGTCTTGCCGAGATGGCTGGCCACCCCCCCCCAAGAGTTTGCAGAGATTTCCCACCCCATCAAGCAGTGGCTCATTTCTACAGTGTTTATGCTGCTGCGGACTTTGCAGCTAGAGCACCTAGGTGCCACACCGATATTGCTGTAGCAACTAATCTGTTTTATCCTTCGGTTTTCTGTGTTGGTCTCACTTGGTAGGACAGGTTGGTCCTTAAAATTCATGGCAATCCTCCTGCCTCAGTCTCTGGAATGCTTGGATTATAGGTGTGAGCCACTTCTTCTGACTTCAGAATTCACTTAAAACTTATTTTGAAGGTTGGAGAGTATTTACGGTATTTACATAGCACCCACCAATGAGGGGCTGGGGGTGTGGCTCAGTAGAAAAGTCACTGCCTCGAATCCCCCAGTGAGAGGCTGGGAGTAGCTGAGTGATAAATCTTCTGCCTACAACAGTGGTTCTCAACCTTCCTAACACTGAGACCCTTTAATACAGTTCCTCAAGCTGCGGTGACCCCAACTGTAAAATTATTTTCATTGCTACTTCATAACTGTGATTTTGCTACTGTTATGAATGTTATATAAATATCTGATATGCAGGATGTCTGACAAAAGGGATCCTGATCCACACATTGAGAACTGCTGGCCTAGAATCTCCTCGGTGAGGGACCAGGGGCACGGTCCAGTGGTAAAGCCCTTTTCTAGGACCCCCCCAGTGACGGAGCTGAAGGTATGTCTCAGTGGTCAAATGCAGGAGACCGGAGAGGAGTGGGCGGAGGGGGAGGGAAAAGGGAGGGGGGAGGGAAATGGGAGGCGGGGAGGAGGCAGAATTTTTTTTTTCTCAACAAAAAAAAAAAGTCTGACTTAAGAAGTGGCTACAAACGAAAAAGAAAAAAATGCAGGAGACCCTAGGTTCAGCCCCACAGAACAGCTATTTCAGGGACTGGCTTTCGTCTATGTCACGGGTGGTCTCTATGAGCATTGCTCTAAGACAGAGATGCAGTAAGCAGAGCTGAGGAGCCCACACCAGTCTGCCAAGCAGACCCTGGGCTTACCTGAGGACAGAGCTGTGGCAGGCAGAAGGCATAGAGAGATGCCAGGCGGTGTGGACACACAGGTTTGTCTGGTGTGCCTGTGTTGGTGTAAGAGAGCCAAACCCATGGGGCAGAGCCAGCAGGGCCCAGGAAGAAGAGCCCAGGCTCCACATCTGTACCGCGCTAACCACTGCAGCATCCCTCACAGGGAGCTTCTAAGGCAGGAATGAGGATCACCTGTAACACGCTAACCGCTGCAGCATCCCTCACAGGGAGATTCTAAGACAGGAATGAGGATCACCTGTAACACGCTAACCGCTGCAAGCATACTTCACAAGGAGATTCTAAGACAGGCATGAGGTACCTGTACCGCGCTAACCACTGCAGCATCCCTCACAGGGAGATTCTAAGGCAGGCATGAGGTATCTGTGTGGAGCACCATATCTGAAATTTGTTGAACAAGTACTTGATACAGACCAGCCTTTATCTGTGGGGAAGGGCAGGTGGAGAGCCATTGTTCACAGTGTGTATGCATGTGTGTGTATATGTGTGTGCACACCTTCATGCGTATGTGTGTGTGTGTGTAGGTTGGATTTAGGTTTCTTCTTCAATCACTCTCAACTCTATTTTTAAAACATCATGTGTGTGTCCATGTGTCTGCATGTGGGACTGTGCAATGGACTGTGCTGTGCCCTGGGCGGGCAGGAGAGGGCATCAGAGCTCCTGGAGCTGGGGTTATAGGCAGTAGTCAGCAGCCCCAGGGGGTTCTGGGAACTGAACACCAGCCTTCTGCAAGAACAATATATACTCTCAACCCCTGAGCTGTCTCTCCAGTCACAGCATCAATATTTTAATAGCCATCTAACATCTGTTGAGCATCTAGGATTATGCTGAGGATATATAACTATGACATCATTTTCTTAATTTTTTTTTTTTGATCTGGAGACAAGATTTCCCTATGTAGATCAGGCTGGTCTCAAACTTACAGCAACCCTCCTGACTCAGTTTCTCAGGATCTGGGATGATGGGCATGAACCATCATGCTACATCTCTATAGCATTACTTTGTCTTACGTGAGGTCCCTAAAATGGGAAGGAAAGGGCGGATGAGACTTAACATGAGAAGCAGAATGGTCAAGAATGGAGGGAGATGAGAGAGGAGGAAGGAAGTGTGGTACTTCTCAAGACGAGTGTGGAGCTCACATGAAGACACTTGGGCGTCTTCAAACCTGCACGCGAGCCCCTCAGTTTCCTTCTCACACCAGGGTACCTACCTCAGTGGCAAAGAACCCTTTGGGCCGGTGCTTTCCCAGGGACGCAAGGCCACCAGGCCCAGGACTCTCGCTTGCACTGATGGTCTGCTGAGCAGCGGCCAAGATCTCATCCAGTTTGTCTGCGGGGAGTGAAGACAGTCAAAGAGACAATGCAAGTGGCCTACCACAGAGACCGGGCCACCTCGGGGCTCTTGTGGTCCTAGTCCTGTCTCTGGGAACACCTCCCAGTCCAGCAGGCAGGGCCCAGTGATGACAAGCACAGGAGAGTGGGTAACACAATGATGTAACCGGTTTCCAGGGCCCCAAGTGCTTAGCTCCCAGGTGTCTGAGGGGCACCCAGGGAGGAGGGCCCGAATGCATGCAGCATCCTCAAAGGCTGGGAGGGGGGATTTGGCATTAGGGAGCCATGCTGTGGCATCTTACTGAGTGCCATCTGATACACGGTCCGTTTTTTCTCCATGCTGGGCACTGGTGCTGGCTGTTGTTCATATTCTGTGGGCAAAGGAGAGGGATGAAGCTCAAGGGTACCCCTGCAGAGGGCATGGCCAGCAGGTGTGGACCAGCAAGTGTGGCCAACACAAGGTGGGGGCAGTGAGGGGCTGGGGTCAAGGGAAGGGTGAATCCGCCGCTGGGGTCAGGAGACTGGGCCCTCCCACCAGACCTGAACCCACTCACCAATTTTCTTCTTCCAGGGGGAGACTAGCCCAGGGGTAGACAGCAGAGGAGCCAAGAGTTAGGACATCAGGGGGAGGTGAGGGACCCCTCTTTGGAATGCCCACCTCCCTAAGGACCCGGGTAGCGGGATAGTCATTCATCTGCCCAACTGGCCCCAGGTCAGAGGAAAATGAGACCCACCCCAGGTCATGATATTCTGCCTGCTAGGAGTCGCTAACCTTCCTCTGTTGGTAGAGAGACAGTAGAAGAAAGGGTAGGGGACAAAAGGAGAGTGACCCATGGTAGGGGGACACATACAGACCCCCAGAGACCCAGGACAGAGAAACAGAGATACAAGAGGGCAGGGGGAGACTCAAAAACTCCCCAGTGACACACAGGCAGGCCACAGAACCTGGCCCAAGGACATGGAGGGGGGGCGGGACAGGAGGAGGACGAGGACCCCTCGTGACTAACAACACTGACAAAGTCAAGGGTGGTCCAGCCCCTTGCCCCTGGCCGCCCCTGGCCCTCAGCCCCGGCAGCCCCACAGGCTCACCCATTTCCTCCAGCTCTGAGGTCATAGACTTGGAACGCAGGGAGATGGCTGGGGGCGGGAGCCGCTTAGCCTGCTGGGATGCTGGAAAGGTGGGGGTGGGCGGGAGGTGTCAGTGTTGCCGGGAGAAGACCCCTCGACACCCATTCCTTCCACTGTGCTTCCAGAACTCTGAGAACAGCACCCCAGCACGCTGAGCCCTCTCTGCCTCAGTTTCTCCCCAGAAAGGTTATGAACAGGCAGGCCTTGAGGGGAAAGGAGAGCCTTGTGGGGGGTTGAGGAGTGACCCTAAGAGTCTTAATTTGGTGGCTGGAGGTGCCCCTTTGTTTTGATACAAAGTATCACGTAGCCTAGACTAACTCAAACTCATTTAGTAGCCCAGGATGGTCTCCGCCTTCTGATCCTCCTGCCTTTACCTCCTGAGTGCTGAGATTGCAGGTGTGCACCATAATGTCCCTCCCTGCAGCCTTGGGGCTGGAGCCCAGGGCTCTGTGTGTGCCAGGCCAGCTCTCCACGACAGCTACGGTGACAGCGGTGAAGAAGTACCTTTCTTGTGGACAGCCTCGTCCATGTCTGGGTGTCTGGTCACCATTACCACCTTGACCATCAGCGTGTTGCCTCCCTGGCGGATCATGTTGACTACCTGACGGTGGCCAACCTTCACTACGTTCTGTCCATTCACCTGTGTCGTGAAGGAGAGGGTAGAAGACCTTCAGCTCCCGAGTCCCAGACCGAGTGACCTTCTACCCCACCCTTTCTCATTCTTTAACCCTTCCACGGCTCCCTGTAATTCCCGTGTCCCCAGGAATGGGCTGACCTGCACACCCTTCATGTCCCTGTACTGCATATGTTGGGGGACAATTCTATGATACTTCATTTTTATATTTTTAGGTACAGTTTTACTCTGTGGCCCAGGCTGACCTGGAACTCACTAGGTAGCCCAGGCTGGCCTTGAACTAGTGGTAGTGGCAATTTCCTTGAGATGGCTAGCTGGGATGACAGGTGTGAGCCACCACTCTGGTGTGGGCACCTCTCAATGGTCCAGGGAGAGTTGCTGAATGTGGAGAGCAGGTGACAGTCTGTCCCCAGGGTCCCCAGAAGGACAGTGTGGCTGGGGCTCACCTCGATGAGGAAGTCTCCCATCCGTAGTCCAGCCCGCCATGCCACGCCACCCTCGTCCACAGACTCGAGGTACTGCAGCGCCGGGAAGGCCGGGGTGGGGGTGAATTCCTCGATGGGGGTCTGCGCTGCAGACGGGGAGGAGCCGGCGGGGTCGGAGGGGAGGGGGTGGAGAGGCCGAGCAGGGGATGGGGCTCAGACCAAGTCACAGTGGACTCACTGGAGCTGAGGGACCAGCACCCCAGGGTGGGGCAATGGGTGGGCTTTAGGGTGTGTGTGTAGGGGGGGTCCCTTCTCTTTTTCCGTCCTCCCTATCCAGGCCCTACTGCTTGGGTCAGAGAGGATCTCCCGTCCCCTCCCCGGCCAGCACTCACCCTTGGCCCCCCGTAGCACGAACCCGAACCCCTCACTGTCCTTCTTCTGCAGTAAGACTGTCTTCTCCTTGATGATGTAATCACTGGCAGGAGGCAGGAGGAAGGGATGGGGGTGGAGAAGGACTCATGAGGCACAGAGTTGGTGCCCCACCCAGTCACAGGGTGCCCCAGGCTCTGCATGGAGACCATTCACTGCAGTTCCCCACTCCCATCCAGTCTGTACTTATGCTCCAGACACCCCCTCAAAGCCCGGGGTGCTCCGGTTTCCACCCACTCTTTCCTCATTCATCCTTCCGTGAATCCATCCACCCATCCACTCAGCAGAGCTGTTACCGAGCCCACAGCGCACCAGGCACCCAGTGGGGTGGGCAGAAGAGGCTGTGAATGATCACAGCCCTGAATGGGTGCTGGCTGGCAGTGTCCTGTCTGTGACCTTGAACCTATGACTTTAACCTTCTGTGCTTCAGTTACCAAGTCTGTCCTGAGGGCCTGGCTGAGAAGACTGTGAGACATCCAGAGTCGTACTACACACACAGGGTAGGGCACAGGACCCACACCATGTCATAGGCCAAGGTGCTAAGCCAAGAGGCGAATGTACAAACACACCTCATCTCTTTTACTACAGGAAGGCCTCCAGAGGACAGACTGAAACAATGTTTACTTTGCCCTGTCCAGTATGGCAGCCTCTAGCTGCATAGGACTATTTTAAAGTGTCAGTTCCTCAGTTATGGTGGCCATGTAGTGTCCCTGATGACACAGAACACTCCTGTCAGTTACTGAAAGTTCCGATGGACAGTGCTGACTGCTGCATCCCTTGAGAAGTGTCCAGTGTGCCACACATAGGCTGTCAGAACACTCTGGTCACACACCAACTACCAGTCTTGATGATGCAAGCCCAGCTGCTGGGGAGGAGCTGAGAGAGGAGGAGCAAAAGCTCAAGATCAGCCCGAGTAACTTAGTGAGGCTCTGTCTGAAGACATCGCGTGAAAAGAGAGCTAGGGGTGTGGCTCAGAGCTAGAGCCCCTGCCTAGAACCCCCAAGTGAGGGGCTGGGGTGTGGCTCAGAGCTAGAGCCCCTGCCTAGAACCCCCCAAGTGAGGGGCTGGGGTGTGGCTCAGAGCTAGAGCCCCTGCCTAAAATCCCCCAGCGAGGGGCTGGAGGCTTCTTCCTAGAACATTTGCTAGGGTATGGATCAATAGTAGAGCACCTGCTTAGCATGCACAAAGGCCCTGGGTTCCATCTCCAGTACTAGAAAAAGTAAACACCAACTCCCCCTGAATATGGTGTTAATTCTAAAGCCGTATATCTCACTAGGACATCTTAGTAGGATGCAAACACAGGAAATGGATAAAATTCCAATCATAGCACCTGCTTTCCTGCTTCCTCAGATTGGCTGCAGCACAGCCTCAGTCCTGGATCACCACTGCACCCCACTCCACGCTCTCTCCGCCTGCTCATCCCAGTGTACGACAGGAACACCTGAACTGCTGCTCTGCCTCAAGCCAGTTCCTCTCAGAACACTCCAGAACACACGCACTGCAGTGCCTCTTTGTTAGCATCTAGAACCCAGGGTCAGCGCCATGCTCCCTCTCTCTCTGCAGCAATGCTCAGCAACCCCTCCACACACACTAAACCTCAGCTCGATCTGTGTGGCTTTCAGCCACTCCAATAATATCCATGCGGGTTCCCCAATTACCTACCCCCACATATTCAGCTAACAGCCCTCCACAAGTACTCCAGTATATTTCAGTGACACCCCCACACATCCCAGTATGCCCTGATTTTGACTCCCCTCACTTTGATATCAGTGTATTCCCATCACACGCCCTCTGAGTACCTCCCAGCACATGGGGATAACACCTAACTGTGTGCCTACTGTATTCTAGTGCCACCGTACCCCGTCAGTACCCTCTGTGAGCATCCACGGTAAAGACCCATGCTCCTGTACACCAGTGGGTGTTCTGCACGTGCCTGTGTGCTGCCTCCTTCCTTGTGTTTAATGGGCCCCACATCATGCATGCACACAGAGGCATACCCCAGCCATTGTGCTGCCCCAGAGGCCAATAAGCCTGTCCACAGGCTCCCGCCTCCTCCCCCACAGCCCTCCCCTTCCTCCCTCCCAGCAGTCTTTGCAGCTGCATGAAGCAGGTGCTGGGAGAAGATTGAAGGGTTGAAGAAAGGGGAGGGGTGGGAGGATGAGAGAAATGGGTCTAAGGAGGCTAGAAGGGTGAGGCCAATGGACAGTCTGGGGACAATCCAGAGGTCAGGGCACTTTGGCTCTTATTGTATTCTGTGGCAGTCTCATCCCGACACAGGGTGACGACCTTTTCTAAGCCCTTATGTTCTTACTACTCTGACACTCTCTCCACATGCCAAGAACCTCCCCATGAGGCAACAGTGCCCGTCATGCTGCCCCTTTACACCTCGCCAAGGCAAAGTCACCTTCAGTCATTCATGCATGCCTGCCACCCTCACCTTTCCCCATTCTCTCTCTCTCTCTCTCTCTCTCCCTCTCTCTCTCTCTCTCTCTCTCTCTCTCTCTCTCTCTCTCTCTCTCTCTCCCACTCTAGTCTACAGTTCACACTGTAGACTGTTTCAGCCTTCCTACTGTTGGGGTGATGTATGTTAGCCACCACATCCAACTCTGCAATCTCTTTCAGCCCTAGCTTGACACATAAACCTCATCCCGTACCCTGACCTCAGATCTGAGCCTGTTGTTCACATGCCAAGGCCACAGCTCACTACAGGCCAGGCAGCATTGAAAACCCTTCACAGCAGACCCACTGGGTATCT